TGGTACCCCCACCTCTCCTAAGAAACTTCCAGTCCCCAGTTTCCATTAAGCCATTCCCCAAATCTGTGTCCCATCTTCTTGTACTTTTCTCATCTTAGTCCAGCATCTATCTATTCTGCTTCCCTGGGCAACATTTCTGTGATTTTTCCCAATGAGTGGCCTTCCCATCCCCAACATAAACTTGGATTGTTTCTTCTCATGTATTAATTTTCTTTAATCGACTCTCCTCACCATCACTTTCTTTTTTTTTAAACCCTCACGTTAACCAGTGCACCATGCAACATGTGTATTTTCTCTTCCAGCTCAGTGGAACATCATATAAATTACAGTGCAGTCTCCCCTATCAGGTTTCTGTAAGTATTCTGGGAAATATGCACAATATAGGCAACAAAGTCTTTTTAAAAAAGGAAGGAAAAAGGGAGAAACCAGGAGGAAAAACGTGCAGACACCTAGAGCAACTTTGCTTTTGAAAAAGGCATTTGTGCAGAGCCCCCCCACTGAATTTCCATCCCTGAAAGTGCTCTTTATAAATGTGTATAACAATAGCCTAGAGGAAAAGTACAAGTCAGCTGCCAAAGGAGGGGGTGTCTGCCTCAGTCAGCTCAGATTGCAGAGGTGGGGGTCACAGGAGGGGGGAAGGCAGCATTTGCAATGGGCTTCCCCCCCTACCCCCCCATCTCATTGCTTATAATTAGTGAGAGAAATTTGAGCTACTGCCAATGTCTGCGGACCTTGAATATTATAAGGCCAACGTGGCGTCAAATATCTTAACATTCATAAGTGTTATGGGCTGTAAATAAAGCCTGTGGATTTATGACCCGGTGGCGCTTGCCAGCAAAGGACTGGGGCACATTTCTTTCAGCAGACCTGTCGAGGTGCAAGTTTGCCTTTGGTTGTAAAATTAACCATTTCCTTCACAAATGTGCTCAATTATAAGTCAGAGTTGAAGATTTACTTACACGGTTGCCAATATTCACTCCTAAATGAAAATCAGACAACCCCATCAAGCGCCCCCCCC